TTCACTATGCCGAGATTCAGCGACAGTCGAATTTGGACAAGATCAAAAATCGGTTATCGTACACCCCCTCCCCGCTTCTAGACAGCAAAAAAATAAGAATAAAAAGTAGCGAATATAAGTTTCGCAGAAGATTTAGAGAGACCAACACAAGCACACTTTAATGTAGTGTTTCTGCCAAATTTGACTTTCTTGTTGTTGGTAGTTTTCTGATGTCGCAAGATTCTCACTTCCCAGCTTACAATTGCAAAACTTCTTGCTAGAAACAGGTTTCGAAAACACCAGTTTTCCACATGACAGTATATGATCATAAAATTCGCAACTAGCTCATTATTTTGCATCATCCTCATATGAGTAACTGGATATGGAAAGACTTCACAAGTTCAAAAATCATCAATGGAAGCATAGAAGACAAACTGTAAAACAGAATACTATGTTTAGCACCCGCTAGCACAATCGTATAGCGAGATAACGGAGGAATGGAATCTATCTCGATATGTTATGAACAGAACCAGACAGGCTGTTATACGACCGTGTATACATAATAGGAAAAAGTATGGGCAATGATTCGGTCGGTAAAGATTATTATATGAATAGCGTACCATAGAGTGAAGCCTTTGTTAAGAATGACAGTAGCCAGTAACAAACGTAAAAGATATCACAACCGGTTTGCCTACCTTGATTGGAACTCTTTCGTGCACAACGAATGCGTGATATTTTCTATAGAATCACAAAGGCAATGAGTGTAATCGTAAGTCGGGTAGATGCACCTGTAAAGACATTTATTGATCAATGGAAGAAGAACATTGAGCTGGAACCTACCACTTATTGCCGGTCCTGTGATGAGGGACATATTTGATACGATAGGCTACAGGATCCACCTTTCCTTCCTCCAGAGTCATTTTCAGCCGCAGAGTAGCTTCTCCCTCATCGAACTTGCCGTTCTTCATATCCTGCAGAGGAGTAAATGAAAGAAAGGTAAAGAATCAAGGTAAAAAACTATCATAGGCCATGTAATTACTAGACGCTTCACCATTCATCGGAGGCAAGATCCGCATTCACTATTCAGTCTCTTCAAATGTATGAGAGTACAGATGTAAAAGCAAGAACGTTTTTCAAATTGAAATGGCTCAATGCAATTACATACTTGATTGAAGTTCGAGTAAAATTATGAGGCAAAATCAACACCATTGCCTTTATCACAAAATCTTTGTATCAACTCGTAACATTAGTGTAAGTAAACATCAAACAGGGAAAGCCTCGGGTACAAGCCTTGATTTATATACTTACTTGTAGGAAAAGAGCCTGATCAAGATGAATGCATAAATGTGATATACAATTAAGTCGTAGACTTTTCTTACAAGGGATGCTCGCGAAGTAGATAGGGCCGATCACTACAAGATGCACACCGCTACGAAGAGCTTGA